CCTAGAAAGGTGGAATTTTGTCTGGGAACCGAGGAGATGCATCTGCCAACGCCCCCTGACCTTTCTCAGGAACACTTCAGAGTTTCTGGTTCAGTGGAGAAAAGCAAACTTCCCTCTTCACAACTTGGCCTTGTAATTTCTTCTTACTACAAAACTATTGGTAAGATTTATTAATTAGATGTCCGTTTTCTTTATTTTTTTAACAGCTTATCGATATGTAATTCACATCCCACACAATTTACCCATTTAAAGTGTACAATTCAAAGAGTTCTAGTTAGTCATTGATATGCACAGTCATCACCACAGTCAGCGTTAGAGCGTTTTCATCATGTACTCATTTACAGTATAATCTACATTAATGTTGAAATTGCAATTGGACCTCAAATGTTATTCTTAAAAGTAGGATGAAAGAACTTGAAAATAGATCTATTCAGACCCTTGTAGGCAATGACAGAGCAATGTGGTGATAGAAGCTGCTTCCAGCCCCCTCCTGTTTAAGCCCAGTGTTACAGCCACTGTGTCAGTCCATCTCGTTGAGGGTCTTACTCTTTTTTGCTGACACTCAGCTTTACCAACCACAATGTCCTTCTCCAGAGACTGGTCCCCTCTGATAACGTGTCCAAAGTATGTAAGACAAAGTCTGGCTGTTCTTGCTTCTAAGGAGCATTCTGGCTGTACACAGATTTGTTCGTTTTTCTGACAGTACATGGTATATTCATTATTCTTTGCCAACGCCATCATTCAAAGGCATCAATTCCTCTTAGATCTTCCTTCTTCATTGTCCAGTTTTCACATGCATATGAGGCTATTGAAAATACCATGACTTGGATCAGACTCACCTTAGTCTTCAAAGTGACATCTTTGCTCGTTAACACTTTAAAGAGGTCTTTTGCAGCAGATTTGCTCAGTTTAGTACATCGTCTGGTTTCTTGACTGGGTGCTTCTCTGGGTGTTGATTGTGGATCCAAGTAAAATGAAATCCCTGAGAACTTCAGTCTTTTCTCCATCTATCATGATGTTGCTCATTGAGGATTTTTGTTTTCTTTATGTTGAGGTGTGATCCATACTGAAGGCTGCTATACGTTTGTAGTTTGCATTAAAGAATAATGCAGTTTAAAATACTCTTGCATACCTAAGGAAATATTTTTCAGGAGCTAACATTTGTTCTTTTACTTGATTAAAAATACAGATGTTCTCCAAGCCAGCAATCAAAGTAGTCTGAAGGTCCAGGCACTGCATGAACTTGGAAGTCTTCTCATCTTCGCGGAAAAGAAAAGGTGTTTTTTTTTTTGTTTGTTTGTTTTTAGGAGCTGGTAGAACAAAGGCATACTTTTGTTTTGTTTGAGAAATTTTTTCATTATTGTGAAGAAATATTATCTTTCATAAATTTTAGTTATCCATTAGTGCTTCATTGCCACATTTTAGTCACCAAATGTTACCTGAGAGAAACTGTCATTTTATGAGAAATGAGTGATATTGATTTGTTCTCTAATATTTTAATTAAAATGTTTCTTGAGTGTATTTGTTTTCTCTTTTGGAAGGTAGATTTAACAACATAGTCAAAAAACATGCACTTTGATGCTCTGCTTCTGTTTTAGGGCTGCCTTCAAGTGTTGGTGTCAGGCTCTTGATGACATTTTCAGGAAACCCGATGCGCTCCATACATGGAAGGAGCTGGGCCTGTCGCTCTCTAATACAAGTGACAGCTTCTCACCTCCAGGTTTTAAAGACTACAGTGAAGAATTTCTGTCAAAAGTTGGCATCTGGGGATGTTTGCAAGGAGCAGTCATATCAGCAAAGATCGCCCAGTGAGTGTGATGGAGGAACAATATGCGCAAGACCATATTTGTTTCCATTTGTGGGATAGCCACCTGTGCCATGCAGGGTGCCAGCTGCCTCACTGGACACTTGGGAAATTACATTCCTGTCCTAAAAACATGAATACAGTGATAGAATATTTACTTACTTATTATGATTATTGTTTATGGCTGTCTGCTTTCTTGTAACACCTCTTACCCCCTTGAAATGCGAACGCCACATGGGCATAGGTCTTTACTTTGTTCACTGATATATCCCAAGTGCTAGCACAGAGTTGGCATTTAGTAACTATTTGTTGAACACATGAATGAATGAATGAACTGTTGGTAGGAGAGAAAGAATAATAGTGTGGAGGCTGGCTAACTTGGGCCTAATTGAAGAACCTTGATAATAGCTTTATATTAGGTTTTTAATGTTAAAAATATTAATGCATTTAAATGCTCTAAAAATATTAAACATTAAAACTGTTTAATTCTCTGTCAAGTTTAATATTTTGCATTCCTTCAAAGTCCTCCTTACACACACACACATACACACACACTCGGGTTCTGAGCTTATGACCTAGTAGAACTTGGCAGTGAAGAATAGCAAGGCAGAGGAAGGTTCACAGCTTGTAGGAGCACAGCTAAAGCATTCCTGCCAGAGGGCACCTCAGCTTTGCTGAGCCTCTGAAGTTATTACCTGGTGATTTTAACCAACAGAAGGTCACTTCCTGGTTACACAGCTGGAAGTCTGAC